TATGTAATGAGACCTGGCACCCTCTTCTGGTATGTGGGCATACATACATGGAGGCAGAATGTTGTATACATAATAAATAAATAAATAAATAAATAATAAATAATCTTTTAAAAAAAGAGAAAACACTTTTGATTAAGTTAAGAATGTGCTCTGAGTCAGGTAGAGTGGCACATACCTGAAATCCCAGCACTCAGGAGGCTGCTTCAGGAAGACAGAGTTCAAGGGCAGCCTCCAAGATGCAGCCAGACACTGTATCTAAAGAAATTTGAGTGGGGTGGGAGACAGCTCAGTGGATGGATCTGAGCTCAGATCCTCAGGTCCAGTAGCAAGAATGTCCCAGTGCTCCCACGAGGAGATGAAAGGCAGGGACCAGAGGATCCCAGAAGCAGACAGGAGAGGAAAAACAAAGAGACCCGGCCTTCCATTTATTGTTTTGGTTTGGGTTGGTTTTTTGAGACAGGGTTTTTCTGTGTATCCCTGACTATTCTGGGACTCTCTCTATAGACCAGAAGACCAGGCTGGCCTCAGACTCACAGAGAGCCACCTGCCTCTGCCTCCCATGTGCTGGGATTAAAGGTGTGCGCCATCACCTGCAAGCAACCCTGTCTTAAACAAGAAGGGAAGCAAGGTCTGGCCCTGAGCTTGTCCTCTCCTCTCCATACACCGCACAGCATACACATGAATTTGTGCATGTGCACATAAACAAAAAATTAAACAGAATTTAATTTTTTATTTTTTAAAAAGTAAACTGCATATGTTGGCATCCACCTATAATTTCAGCACCCAGGAGGCTAGGCAGGAGGATTTCTATGAGCTCAAAGCTAGCCTGGGCTACATGAGCTCTAGGCCAGTCTGAGTTAGCCAGCAAGATTCTGTCTTGAGAAATTAAAATAAATAATTGAAAATACAAATTTTAAAAGAAATACTTTTTTACTTTTAATTTTTGTGTCTGTGTATAGAGGTGTGAATGTATTTGTTCATATGGGTGTACGTAGGTGCACATGCGTGTTCATATGGGTGTACATGGCTGCATGTAGTGTTCATATGGGTGTACATGGCTGCATGTAGTGTTCATATGGGTGTACATGGGTGAATGTATGTGTCATATGGATGTACACAGATGAAGGTATGTGTTCATAGGGCATACATGAGTGCATGTATGTATTCATAGGGTGTACATGTGTGTATGAAAGACAAAGATCAATATTAGGGGTCTTCCTTTTTGACTCTCCACCTTTAATAGATAGATAGATAGAAAGACAGATATAGATAGATAGATAGATAGATAGATAAAGATAGAGTGTGTGTGTATGTGTGTGTCCTTTTTTTAAAGATTTATTTATTATGTATACAATGTTCTGCCTGCAGGCCAGAAGTTGGCACCAGATTTTATTACAGATGGTTGTGAGCCACCATGTGGTTGCTGGGAATTGAACTCAGGACCTCTGGAAGAACAATTAATGCTCTTAACAGCTGAACCATCTCTCCAGCGTGTGTGTATGTGTGTGTGCGCACGCACACTACATGCACTCAGGAGCCTGTAGCATTCAGAAGAGATATTATATCCTTTGGAACTAGAGTTACAGACAGTAGTTAGCCACCATGTGGGTGCTGGGAAGTGAACCTAGGTACTGTGCAAGAACAAGTTCTCTTAACCACTGAGCCATCTCTCCATCCCCTCTTCACCTTAAAACTTTTTAAAGCACGTATTTATTGTGTATATGTATGTGCATGTGCACGCAGACACATGCCATGATACATGTCTGGAAATCAAAGGACAACTTGTTGGAGCTTGTACTCTGCTTCCACCACTGGGGCCCAGGGATCACACTCAGGCTGTCAGATGAGATGGCCAGTACCTTCCCCCGAGCCATCTTTCCAGACTCTCCGCTTTGTTCTGTCTTTTAAATATTTATTTTTATTCTATGTATATGTTTTGCCTACATGTATGTATGTGCACCATGTGTGTGCCTGGTTGCCCTCGGAGGCCAGGAAAGGACATGAGATCTGCTGGAATTGGAGTTACAGATAGTTGTGAGCCGTCTCTTGTGATGTTGGGAATCCAGCCTGGGTCCCCTGCAGAAGGAGCAAGCAGTCTCAGGCTCTGAGCCATCGCTTGAGTGCGCCACTGTATTTTTTTGAGGTCTCTGCAAACCTAGAGTTTATTCAGTTGGCTAGACCGGCTGTTTGGTGAGGTCCAGGGATTGCTTATCTCTGTTTTCCTCCAAGCTGGGGTTGCCAGATTGATGCCCTCAGTTTTTACATGTTTTCTGGAAATCTGAACTCAGATCCTCATAGGGTTTGGGTGGCGTTTTGTTTTTTTTTTTTGTTTGTTTGTTTTTTAAATATTTATTTATTATGTCTACAATATTCTATCTGCATGTATGCTTGCAGGCCAGAAGAGGGCGCCAGGCCCCATTACAGATGGTTGTGAGCCACCATGTGGTTGCTGGGAATTGAACTCAGGACCTTTGGAAGAACAGGCAATGCTCTTAATCGCTGAGCCACCTCTCCAGCCCTGGGTGGTGTTTTTGTTTTGTTTTGTTTTCTTTTTGTGTAGCCCTGGCTATCCTGGTACTTGATTTGTAGACCAGGCTGGCCTCACTCAGAGATCTGCCTGTCTCTGCCTCCCAATTACTGGGATTAAAGGTGTGCGCCACCACTGCCCAGCATCAGATTCTCATATTTGCATGGCAGGTACTATACTGACTTAGTCATCCCCACCACTCAAATCATAATTAAAAAATTATTTTAGCTGGGCAGTGGTGGTACACATCTTTAATTCCAGGAAAACCAGGCAGATATCTGTGAGTTCAAGGTCAGCCTGGTCTACAGAGTGAATTCCAAAACAGCTAGGGCTGCATAGAGAAACCTTGTCTTAAAAACAAGCAAACAAACAAAATTTATATGTATTGGTGTTTTGCCCGCCTGTGGACATCAGAAGAGGGTATTAGATGCCCTGCAATTGGATATCAGATGGTTGTGAACCACCCTGTGGGTTCTGGGACTCGAACCCAGATCTCCTGAAAGAGCAGACTGGTGCTCTTAACTATTAAGCCACCTCCCAGTCCCATATAAATATTTAAAAAGTGTTATGATAACAGTTGGAATTTAGATGTCCTAGACTGTCACTTATAGAAGAGACCACAGGAGTTTTTTGGCTTGAACTTCCATACACCGGGAGAGATGGCTCTCTGGCTGCAAAGGACCCAGGTTCAGATCCCAGAACCCTATAACTGTTGTTGACTTTTCCAGGGGATCCAATGCCTTCTTCTGCCTGTGGACACTGAACTCATGTGGTTTGTAGGAATACATTCAGGTAAACACTCATACATATAAAAATAACTAAAATCTCAAAAAAAAAATCATGATAAAAATGGAGACTGGAGAAATGGCTCGGTGAAGTGCTTGCCACACAAGCATGATGGCCTGAGGTCAATCCTACACATAAAAAAGCCAGGTATTGGCGGGTGGTGGTGGTGCACACCTTTAAGGCAGATCTCTGTGAGTTGGAGGCCAGCCTGGTCTACAAGAGCTAGTTCCAGGACAGGCTCCCAAGCTACAGAGAAACCCTGTCTCGAAAAACAAAAACAAAAAACAAACAAACAAACAAGTCAGGTATGGTGGAGAGTGCGTATAACTGTAGCGCTGGGGTGGTGGAATCAGGAGCACCACTAAGGCTGTCTAGGCCAGTCTAGCCTACTCTCATCCGATTGCAGGCATTGAGAGACCTGTCTCAAGGTAATTGGTGCCTGAGGAACAATACCCAAAGTTGTCTTCTGGCTTAAACACACACACACACACACCCATGATAAAAGTGAACTTCCATACCACAGAACACTAGAAAAATCAAGATTTTATTTTTTTAAAAAACATTATTTTCAGTCCCATTTTTTTAAAGTTCAGAGGCTAATGCCATGGTGGAACAATCCACTCTTGTTGAACCAGACCCTCTGGGAATCAGAAGAGCATTAGCCAGTGCAGTGAGGAACGGTCATGGCAGACAGGCAGACCCTCCAGAGGAGCTGGGTGTGGGGATAGAGGGGTGAAGGAAAGAACGACCCTCCAGAGGGATGGACACACCTGTATCACTCAAGGCCCCAGCCCCAAGTTTACCTCCAAAGCCAGCTACCCTACAGCCTGTCTCCTGCCCTTTCTGAGTCTTGGTCTGGCTGGAGACCAGGCTTTCCACAGCATGTTGGCATGGCCACCTGTGACTTGGCATACCTCTCATGAACCCTGGCTCAACCTAGCAAGGCTTAGAGAATGGATTTGTTCTCCCATCTTCTGGCAGGGACCACGGAGGGAAAGTCCCGGGGCAATGAGGATTGTTTCCATGAAAATTCGATGGGAAATTATGATGGGGAGTGGTTAAGACAAAGAGGATGGGCATTAAAGGATGGGCATTTGACGGGGTGGCCCTGGGAGGGGAACCAAGGGGACACTGGGTTTCACCTGAGATGTAAAGATTTGGTGCAAACAACATACAAGGCTGGGCTCCACATTCAGTCCCAGAACCTACAACAGGGGGATGATGCAGAGACCTCTAGTCCGAGCTCAGGGAGTTATCACCTACTGTCCTTTCTCCAGTCCTGTCTGGATTTGTCCTCAATGAGACAATCACCTGGGTTTCCTCCCCCAGCCAACCTCCCGGCATCAGAGGGGGAAACAGTGGCTATTCCTAGTGCCACCCCACCCACCACCCGTGCCTTCCCATGATACCTCCGGCTTCCTCCCTAAGGCCCTTCTAGAACCGTTTAAGGCACTGTCTTAGCAGATGAGAGTCCTGAGGAGATGAACCAGAGTTCTTTTAAGAGAAAAGTAGACAGGGAAAGACTCTTTATGGAAAAAACCATCAGGAGGCACCCATCTCATTACCTCCCATCTTCTTCCCAAGGGGTCGGAGAGATCATTTTACCTGGCCTCTCACTGAACCTGTCCCACCCGGATACCTCTGTCTTATTTATGATTGCCGGATCCTACAGACTGGCTGGCCTATGAACTACAGGTAACATACGTGAGCTCTGCCAAGATGTGGCCCAACACTGTCAGATCCCACCATCCAGCCAAGCTGCCCTAGAAATGCAGTTGGCCATGCAGGAAGTAGGCCAGCAGCTGGACCTCAAATTCCTCACTGTTCCGTTGCTTATATCCAGGACCTTGGAAATGTCTGTGACCACTGGGAATAGACCTAGTACCAAATACCAAAGTCTCTGTTCCACCTGTCATACCAAAGTGAGGGCTGTTGCAGAATGGGGATTCTGGGACCTCCAATCTCAGCCCCACCCCAATCCTCTCCTGCAGAAAGCCTCTTTCCAAGTTCATGGCCAGCCCAGAGCCCCAGCTCAGCTAAGAGCACTAAGTTTGGTCTCTTGCTAATCCCCTGCCTTGAGCTCTGTTCTCTACAGTCCAACTTTCTCACAGGTGAGAAAGTGCCTGGCTCCATGCAGAGAAGTCCTGAGGGCTCCAAAGCAAAGATTCTGAGAGGCCCACGTGAGATCACAGGGTGTGGGGAAGCAGCAGAGCTCACAGAGACAGGCTGTGCCTCTGTCACACCCCGAACCCCCACATCCCCCTACACTCACTGGAGTGTGTCATGTGACAGCAAGCAGCAATCCAGGTATCAAAGCATGCCCTTTGTCCCTGGAGGAGGCCCCCAGGGCTCTGTCAGTGTGCCAAAACCACTGCTCTCAAAAAAACAAGTTAATATGTTTTCTATCATTTAAGTGGTTGCTGAGGCTTAGTGTACAGAACTCCTCAACTGATTAAAAAAACAAAAGATCTAACATTTTGTTTGAGTCCAAAAACTGTAGAAGCCAGTTAATCTGTAAACAGGTACTTCAGATCACTCACTGGGAGAAGAAGTGTTGGGGGGAGGGGCTGGAGGAAAGATCTAGAATATTGTCCTTCATACTCGTTCTCAGCACAGCTGCAGTATGGAATCGTTGGTAGAGACAGCACCCAGAGCATCCTTGGACAAGGTGTGGGGATGAAGACCAAGCTACTGTTACCTGCACACAAGAAAGATGCTCAGATCAGAGGGAAGGTCCAGAGACCCTGCTCCCCTCAAGTGTGGGCCAGAGTGAGATCTGGTACCCTGCACACATACCCAACCCTGCTTAGGGCTATCAAGTCAGTTCAAAACAGAGCCATGTTCAATCAGGGCTGTAGCAGCCTGGCCCTGACCTTCTACCCTTAATCCCAAAGGCATTAGGAAGAGAAAGGGCCTCACCTGTGCCCTGGGAGTGGCCTGCCCCAGTTCAAGGAACATAACTGCTGCTCCAGCCGGGAGATGCGGAATGCCAGATAGGATGAGGACATCACTAAGAAGCAGATCCTGGAGAAACAGGAGCAGTGAGGGGGTGACTCTGGTTCTTCATTCTCTCTCTCTCTCTCTCTCTCTCTCTCTCTCTCTCTCTCTCTCTCTCTCTCTCTCTCTGTGTGTGTGTGTGTGTGTGTGTGTGTGTGTGTGTGCGCGCGCACGCGCGCGCATCCACAGAGGCCAGAAGAGGGCATCAGTTCATCTAGAACTGGAGTTATGAGTGGTTGCAAGCGTCTGACATGAACTGTGTAAGGAAGGCAAGCAGACTTAACTGCTGAGCCAGCTCTCCAGCCCCTGGTTTGCTTTGTTGAGACAGGGTTACATTACGTGTAGCCCAGGCTGGCCTCAAAAGTGATATGTAGTCAAGGATGGCCTTGAAGTCTTGAGCCTTCTATTTCTACTCCCAATTGCTAAGGTTATAGGCACATGCTGTCGTGCCTCATCTATACGGTGCTGGGGATCAAACCCAGGGCTTTGTGCCTACTAGGGCAGCACCCTACAACTGAGCTACACCTCCATGTGCTTTTTTAGTTTAGTTTAGTTTTATTTTAAGACAGTCTGAATACATAGCCCAGGCAGGCCTGGAACTTACTAAGCAGTCCAGACTGAACTCACCTCCATGATCCTCCTACCTTAGCCTCCAAGTTACAGCATGGGATTGCAGGCGTGTGCAGCAAGTGCCACCTAGGAGGTGAGCCTTTCTCCTGAAGAAAGGGCATTGGTGGAGGCTCACCAGAAACAGCAGGAGCACTCCCCTGTTCTCCAAACTGGAGGGTTTAAAGAGCCCTTTGCTCCTATGCATTAAATAGGCCTGGCATCATTCTTCTTAAAGGCCACAGGGATGGCCTGAGACTTGTCATCGCAGAAACGTCCTTACAGTTAGCAAGAATTCTATCTAGGCCCTTCAGCTGAGCCACGGAGGAAACCAGTCAAAACTATTTTCTTTCTCTCTCTTTCTTTCTTTCTTTCTTTCTTTCTTTCTTTCTTTCTTTCTTTCTTTCTTTCTTTCCACCTTGGTTTTTCCTGCAGCTCCTCCAGGGGCCATTAAGGTGATGTCAGTCTCTAAGCCGTCCCACTCCCCTACAGAGGCTGGGGCTGAAAATCAACCTAGACGGCAGAGACAGAGGACGTGGATAATGAAGGGTTAACAATCTAAAAGCCTTGGGTGGGTTGAGACGCTCCAGACAGGAACATTGACTTGACTGAGAACACCTGTGGGAGTATCTGAGCTCCACAGGCTAACCTCACTGGTGTCTCCCACTTCCAGACTTCAGGGGCACTGACCTGCTAATGGACTCTTCCATCCCAAAGCTCCCCCTTTTCTACCCTATTAAGCCCCAAGACCCCCATGCCACCCAAACACAGTCTCACTTCCACAGAGAAGATGCAGCCCTTCAGCTGTCCTGATTAAAGAACAATTCTGTTTCTGGAGGTGCCCATCTTTTTACCCTGTACTTCCATGTTGCCTCCATGAACCCCATCTAACATTTGGTGCCCAAACCAGCTGGCTGTTTCAGGATCCCACATCCCAGCCCCTCACATCTCAGTCCCTTTTCTGAGACCCATATCACATAACATGTGGCCCCTTGCCAATTTACTAGGGCTTAGCAGCCACCAGTCTCAACTCGAAACCTCTGGGTTTTTGGCTGGCAAAGTAAATCAATGTGAGTCTTTCCCCTCATCTGCCCCCCTCCCCCCGACTCCTGTTACTGTTTTCTGTTCTCCAAAGCAGAGGCCCTTTGCCAACTGTCTACTGGACTGCATGTACCACCAACTCAGCGGAAGGTAAGGCCTGGCTAATGTCTGGAGGTGTACCAGACCCAGGCCCTCCACAACTCTGGGAGTTCCAAGGCTTTGACCACATGATTTTCATAAACAGGGGATGCCTTCTTCTGCGGATGCGGCTCCTCCCTTCAGCCACCTCTGACCCTGGGCAATGACTAAAGCCTCTCTCCCCAGGCTAGTTCAAACGAGAGACCCTGCCTCCATATAGAAGTTGGAAAGCGATCAGGAAAGACGCTTACAATGTTAATGTTAACCTTTGGCCTTCATGGGCACAGGTATATACATGCAATCACATACATTTGAACATGCATGTATATATACACATGTTATAAAAAAAGAATAAGGAGAGAGGGATACAGACAAGCCGGGGGTTCTGAAAACTGTACTGATGGTAGGCAGTGGAGAAAACGTTTCTCTGACTAGTATTTCTCTCAGTTATCTGACAGCTCCCCAAGCCTGGGCAGCAACTCTTCCTTCTCTCGACAGTTTACCCTGCCCCTTGCCATAGCACTGCCTGAGGTCTGAATGCGGGGACTCAGACATAAAGCTGGGAGGATGGGTCATGAGACCTTCAGAGCTCAGAGTTGCTCTGGACCATCCCCTTGGGTCTAGGTGACAACCCTCTAAAACCCTCGTAAACCATAATCACCATGACGACCACCACTCTGGGTTTCAGACCAGGCTTGGTATAGACACCTACATCACAAAGATGACTTTAAGAAGCCGAGAATCCCACAGCCTCAATTCTTGGTCCATGGTGGGCTCTTCCTCCAACGTATCTTCCTCACAGACGGCCTCTGCAATGGGAGAGCAGCTAGGCATCTTCCTGGGGGCACTCGGGGTCCCAACCAGCGTGGGGCAGCTCCCCCTCCCTTCATGTGCTGAAGCTGCTTGGGCTCTTGGATTTTCCATATGGATTTGGAGAAAGAAAGAAACAGCTCTCAGAAGCCTGGCTGGCCATGCAGGGCTCTTTGCATAGAAGTGAGAAAAAGGGTGAAGACTCTGCAAGCAGTTGCCACAGACAAGATCCTGAACTCACCAGACCCTGGAGGCTTTCTGGAGGGGAAGCAGCTATCTGTGGAGTCTGTAGGTATCCGAGAGACACAAGAGATGTTGTCGGGGAGTGACAGGGAAGTGGAGGCTGGGCACACTTTTCTCCACTTCATCTCAGGGATAAGGACTTCCTGTGGAGAAGACGGACCATGAGCATCCTTGGTCCTAAGGAGCCCACTCCAGGGTTATCAAGACTTTCTCCAGATGCCTCCTCAGGAGAGGACTATAGCAACAGCATGTCTCTTCTGGAAACTCCCTGGCTATATCATCCTTTGGTCAGAAAACATCTTTTAAGTATTATTAACTGTAATTATACCATTCAATATTACTACTGAAAAGACATTTGGTTGAATTTTATGTCATTTTAAATAATTTCATATGTATACAATGCACCAAACCATTTGTTACCTTCTCTTAACATTTTTACTCTTGCCCCAGCTGGTCCTTTTTGTCTTAGCATCTTGTCCCCGCCTCCTTTCACGCCTATTGCTTCATGGTTGTTGTTTTTGATCCACTGAGTTTTTGAGTTGGTTGTATGAGCATGGGCAACTTATCAGTAGCCTTTAAAACACTGAAGAAAATGGAACCCCTTCCCCTAAACAATATGTCTGAAGACCACAGTGAAGAAGTACAGTGGTCATCTTCGGTCAGACAACCCAAGTACATGCTCAGATCTGAGTTCAAGACTGCCTCAGATGGTACAAATTATGGCTTATTTAATCTAGATCCTTGTTTAACTCTGAACAAGCCACTGACCTTGGCAGAGGTGAATATGGTTCCAATCAATACCAAAGGAAACAATGACTTCTCCCCCTGGCATGATACTCTGTATACTGCATGCCGGACTAAATGCTTCATAGTTACTGAGGAGCTCTAAATACTTTGAGGTCAGCGACACTTCATCTCTGCCCTCAAAACTCAACTGAACCTACACAGGGCCTCAGCTCCCGAAGGAAAGCAGAAGTCTGGATTGTCAGGGACAGCTTTGGGGTTCTTTTTTTTTTTTTAATGTATTCATTTTGCTTGTGTGTGTGTGTGTGTGTTTTGCCTGCTTGTATTTGTCTGTCTGTGTTTTGCCTGTTGTATTGTGTGTTTTGCTTGCTTGTATATGTGTGTGTGTCATTTGCCTGCTTGTATTTGTGTGTGTGTATGTTTTGCCTGCTTGTATGTCCTCTGCAAGAGCAGCAACCACTCTTAACCACAGAGTGTTCAGAACCACCTCCCCAGCCCCTGGCTTTGGAGTTCTTGTCTAAGGACATTTCTGTGGCTTTGAAAGTCCTCCTTCCTCTGAGAAAAGAAAGAGGATGGATGACTGGCTTGGCATCCATTTGGTTTGGGACTCAGCCCAGCCAGTGTTTGGGGGACATACTTCTGTCAGAGTCGGCAAATCTGCTGAGGCCCTATGTGCTCCGCATGGCATGCAGTCTAGGAGCCCCTTACCAGTGTGGCCACCGGCTCCAGAACCCGTACCCTAATTCTACATGGTGGCCCTAAAGTTTTGGAGCCCCGCTCCCTGGCAGGCCCTGGCTCCCAGCCTCAGCTCTCACCGGAGACTCGCACTCAGCCTCCTCGGGGCACTTCCTCACACTCAGACTCTTCTTGCTGGAAGGCTGGGGAGGAAAGGGGAGAAACAGGCGAGATCAAACACAGGGAGGCCCCATAAACACACTGCCTGTGTCGGGTGGAGCCCAGGTCAGAGTTTCTGCACAGTGGGGAACTGGGGGTGTTTTGTACTATTGTAGGGGAGCAAACCCCAAGCAACTCATTTTCCATGCCCCTGCCCCCACCCTACTTCCCTTTCTTCACCTTGGCCAGAGGGTACATTGAGAAGCAGCCATGCCCCTGTATCTCTACACTTAGGAAGCATAGGTGGGGACACACCAAGACTGGCCAAAAGATATGCCAATGCCAGGTGGTGGTGGTGCATGCCTTTAATCCCAGCACTCAGGGAGGTAGAGGCAGATGAATCTCTGTGAGCAGCTCAAGGCCAGCCTGGTCTACAGAGCTAGTTCCAGGACAACCAAAGATACACAGAGAAACCCTGTCTCGAAAAACCAAACAAAAACAAAACAAAACAAAAAAGATATACCCAGTGATGCAGAGTTCAAATACAGTCTCTGGTGTATTGAGCTCCGACAGTAAGTCCCCTCTCTCTGCTCCCATTCCTGGTGCTAGAGAGGCAGGTTAATCTCCCCGAATTGCCTTCTCCAACAACCTGGGTGCAGTCTCCTAGATCAACCTTTGCCTCAGGGTTCCATACCTGCAGGTGGGTGCAGACCCTCCTCAGCACGTCATATACGCTGTCCCGGGAGAGCAGAGACACAAAGATGTACTGGGATATGAAAGGAAAACAGAAAGGACTGGAGTGAGATGGGGCTTCTTGCCGCACCAGCAGACCATGTCCATGGATCAGGGCCAAGCCCAGAGGTATACGGGGCCGTGAGAACCAAACAAGACCACCACCTGGAACAGCTACAGGGTAAGAAGTCCAAGTCTGGGAGTAAGCAGGCCGGCACCGGGCCATGAGTGTCTAGAGCTATGGTGGGGAGAAGGACAGGAGAAGTTGTTGGCCCAGAGACCCACAGACCTTCTGGCTGGTGTTGGTGGTGATGGCCAGTCCATTGGGAAGGAGTCGCGCCATCTTGTGTTTTTTGATCAATTGCACAGATACCACAGGAATGACCACCTGAGAGAGAGAGGAAGAGAGAGAGAGGCATGCTTCTCTCAGGACTTACCCCCTCAAAAAGACAGGCCCTGGGCGCTCTGCACTGGAGCAAAGGACAGACACAGCTGGCACTCAACCAAGAATGCACACCCTGGTGAAGCCTTGCTTGTGTGTGGTAGCAGGGGGCATCACGGCCTTTCACAGTCTCATTCAGCGCCCCCTTCCAACTATCCCTACCTCTGTGCCCCAGCCTGGATAACACACGCTGCTTCAGATTCTCTTCTGCGCATGATCCCTGTTATCCAAGACTCCACAGATAATTGTTTGACTATTCACCGAGTCCCCTGAGCTGGCCCTTAATCACACCAGTGACTCTCCCTGAAAATGACACCGCACTCTGACCCTGAAATCATTTCTGAGATACCTGAAGCCAGTATAATTTCGCTGTCCATCGTTCAGGCCAGCAGATGTAGGATCGTCTGTGTTTTAGGACGATCTTCTACTCCCTGAACATGGGATGAGATACCTTGAGGCTGCCCATCCAGACAGTGAGAGGCTTCACCATGTGCTGAGGACATGGACAACAGGCATGGCTAGAGGCATGCCTACAGCAGGAGACCGTCCCTCCCCTGGTCCCGGGCAGGGGCCTTCCTGGTTCATAGCAACCCTCACCACTCATGACTACCTTGACATCCTTGCCAAAGAGGCTGGCATGGAAGCAGAGCCAGTTAGGAGAGATATAGAGCCGGCCATGGAGAAGGAGGTCTCTCTGGAGGGCACAGGAACACACTGGGAAGTCAGAGGAGAAAGGATGGCCATGAGGAAGGATAACCCAGAGAAGCCCCAGGTCTGGATCCTCTTACCTTTTCACCTGTCCTCAGACCTCCTGTCCCCATCCCCAGTCTATCCCACAAGCACGCAAAGGGTCCTTCTGAGAATCCTGAGTGTGCCACTCCACCCCACTAACTGCTAGATGTTTCCTCATTCTCCATTGCCCACAAGGTCTGAGCAACTTCCTGTCCAGGTCTCTAGCCCCAGATTCCTGTTACCTCAGGAACAGGCTTTACCCTGCCCCGAGAAGAGGATTTAGCTTGTACAAATGTCCCTATGTGCTCAGTGAGGGGTCTGGGCAGGGGACAACACTCTGTCTGCAATAAGAGCAGGACAGAAAGAGCTTTCCACCCACAAACCTGCAGAACTCAACCCCGCATCCCAAACCACACTGTCTCTCTCCTCAGGCTTCTGAAGAAAGGACCAGCCGCATCTAAGTCATTCCCACGTGTAAACTTAGCACAAAGGCTCCCAAGAAAGGCCTGGGTATTCACCAGCCGGGCTCACCTTTGAGGACCATCTCCTCCAAGGGGACGTCTTTAAACAGCTTGTGGTACTGCTGGTTGTATTTGCTCAGTGGTGTCTGCAAACACAAGACCCAGCTTTGAGAGGCTAGCGGTCAGACCACCTCAGGGCCCTGCTCTGGTCACCGGGAGATAATGCTGTTTACCCCCTGGGAAGCAGCAAGGGTGTGAAGGGCTGAGTTCCAAGTCTAGCTTATCTCCTGGTAATGTTGAGTTCTTACAGGGAACGGTGACTAGAGGGAACACACTATCCCCATCAAGGCAACAGGCCTAGTGGCCAAGAGGCCAATAGTGAATTCGGGCATCCCAGCACACCTCCATCAGAGAGCAGACAAAGGTGGCCTCCACACACTTACCCCTTCCCGGCCATACTTCTTTATCTCTTCACCCTTCAAGCCTTCTGACCAGTGTAGGCTGCAAAGGAGACATTCCATTCCAGGGACAAGGAACCCTTGAGTCCGACCCATGTATCCTCAGTGCCAGTTCTGCCCTGGCTTTGAGCCAGAAGATTGGAGCAGAGATTGGCGACTAAGGCCCTTCTCTAAGAAAACAGTAAAACGATAAGAACTGCAAGCACGCTGCTCATCTCTGGGGAAGGGCACTAGCGAGGCTGCCTTCCCAAGCAGATTGGAGTGCAACACCCACGAAGGTATGCTTGGCCTGAGCCTCCGTCTCCCACAATGCTGAGGAGCTGTTCAGCCCTGAGCAGCAAAGACACCCCAATTTCTCTAGCCAAGGAGTAGGCAGAGGCACAAGCATTGTGGGTTCAGGGACCACAGTCTAAGGGTGTCCAAGCCGGAAGCTTTAGACTCACAGCTCCAGGGCCATGATACAGACAGATCTGCCCTCCGTGTGGCCTCCTGGGGCAGCCTGCACCTCCTCACTGAGGCACTCAGAACTGACTGACTGGGGCTACTGAGCAGGAAAGAACGTGATGAAATACAAAGCAGTGCTCTGGCCAGGTTGGCCCAAGGACAGGTGGGCAGGGAGGAGACTGGTAACCTGAGAAGCCTGGTCCCTGCAAGGTCCCAATGCACTGGGTCAGGCTGGAAGGGTGGGAGGAAGAGGCCTCAGCAGGATATGCTCAGCCTACAAGGTGTGCTAAGGTGTTCTGCCTGACTCAGACCTATGATTCCCCCACCTCTCATATTTACATGTCTTTGTGTGTGTGTGTGTGTGTGTACGTGTGCGTGTGTGTGTGCACGTGTGCGTGTGTGTGCATGTGTGTGTGTGTGTGTAGGCCGGAGGACAACCTTGAGAGTAACCCTCAAGAACACCATCCACCTCTTTTGAGTCAGGGTCTCTCACCTGTCTGGAGCCCTCCCGTTAGGCTAGGCTGGCTGTCCACCGAGATTCTCCTGTCTCTACCTCCCTGGCACCAGAATTATAAATCACATCGCCACGATCAGCTTTTTCTCTCACATGAGCACTGGGGATTGAACTCAGGTCCTCATGCTTGGGAAGACAGGTGCTCTATTGACAAAGGGATCTTTCCAGTCCCTTAATGCCCAGCCACTAGCAGGTCACTTCCTGACAGTCTCCACCCTTCCTAGTCTGAACTTCTGTCTGATCGGAAAGGGGCCTTACCTGTCACCTGGGGGCTCCTGGACCTTTTCTGGTTTCTCTGTGCAGGGCGCAGAGCTCTTCAGAGACGCTGTCTTCCCATGCATTTGTTGGTTGCTAGAGGGAAATGTGTCCATGTTAGAAAGAAGACTAAGGGGTATCTTTTCCTATCGGCCTCACTCTGTCCATCCGGAGCAGCTGGTCTGGCCCCTGCCCTTGCTTGATGTACAAGGTAAAGTTGAAGATGTCATAATTTGGAGTCACTTCCAAAGTCTGTGGCCAGACTTCGGAGAGGGAGCTCATTTTCCCGTTTCTAAGCACCGTCCTCACTTCTGCCCATTTGATAGGCCACACTATGTCTGTCACCTTCATTTGCATTTTGTCTACTGGGAGGTGTCTCCCACAGCGTCTTGCCTGGAAACCTAAAGTTCAGTTAACGCTTGGCCCAGAACAAAAGATGGGTCTGTCCACCCTGTTTTAACTTCTAGGCAACTGCTTGCTAGTCCAGGAAGAATTGAGCCTCCAGCCCCACCTGTGTGTGGAGGACAGACACAGACGTGTTCATGTTGAAAGTGGAAGTTTCTAAGGTGCCCTGGCAGCTACTGTAAACTATCAGTTTCTGGGAAAGGCTGCAGTGGACAGGGTCCGTTATCAAATGCCGTTAGAGATGCGGAAGGTAGATTCCAGTCAGCCTACAAGGGAGGGCGGCTGCAAGGAAGGAGTGGGACTGCCCCAGACTAGGAAGTGGTGGCCTAAGTCACCTTCAGACAGTGGGAGTACCTCAGCCACGACAGCCAAACTATTTCAAAAATGTCCTTTTTCAGGCTGGGGAGAGAGCTCAGTCTGCAAAGTGCTTCCTTGCAAACATAAAGACCCCAATTCGATCCTCAGAACCCTATAAGATACCAGGCATGGCAGCACACACTGTAATCCAAGACCTGCAGAGGCAGAGACGGGCAGTGGGCTCACTAGGAAAGGCCAATGAGAGACATAAATAATAAATACATAAGGCGGTCAGCTCCAGAGGAACAGCTTCCACACGTGTGTGCACCCATGGGCTTGTATGACTGCCACACCCACATGTGCCCTCACAGGCACATGCAGACAAACACTTTGTCTTCTTTAAGAGACAGAATTACAGACTTGGCCTAAGGTCCTCCGGGACCCTCGGAGTTTATCTAGGCTGACACCCCGCAACCACAACATCATACAGATCAGGAAAAAAGTTAACCCTGACAAGGGACAGGCCCTGTCCAGGGTCACATTGTGAAGATCTGTCCACCTCACTCATAACATTGGCCTAGTCCCGTGTGACCTGGTGACCTATCTCCTCGACCTCATAGAAGGTTTGGCATGTATATCACCACACACAGTTAACTACACTGCATGCTGTTTCATATGTCATCTGTGACATAGCTCCCTCGGGTTCACCACCCAGCGATGTCTTGGTTCCTGTAAGCACACTCCATGTTTGCACTACAGCAAGATCTACTAATGACACATTTCTCGGAATGTTCCTTTGTGGCTAAGTGACACACGGTTGTATTGACTGAGCGAAGTGACAGACTGTTCTAGCAGCTTGATCCTCCGACTCCTCAGGTTAGTTTCTGGGTATGTTTGGCTTTATCACTTCCCACTTCGCAGAGGGCTCTTCTCTTAACCTTTTAATGTTTGCTGTAGAGAATGTGGTAAAGCATTTATAAATGATTGAAATCATCCATTAAAAAAAAAATCCCTAGCCGGGCGGTGGTGGCGCACGCCTTTAATCCCAGCACTTGGGAGGCAGAGGCAGGCGGATCTCTGGGAGTTCGAGACCAGCCTGGTCTACAGAGCTAGTTCCAGGACAGGCTCCAAAACCACAGAGAAACCCTGTCTCGAAAAACCAAAA